GCCACAAAGAATTAAGGCAGTTCTGAAGGCAAAAGGGGATTCCCGGTACTACCTTGGTATACTTAACAGTGTCTCTAGTGAGTGTATGTGTGGCAGACATAAGGACAAGCATGGAAGTCCACTTTAAAATACTACTGCAACTGTATACATACCAAAAGTAAGAATACCGTTAGCATGCAAAGGACACTCGCAGATCACTTACTGTCCATAAACTGGAATTTGTACATAAGTTGTTGCACAGTTAAAAACAGCCCGTCTTACCTGATGAATGCCTTCAGGCAGGCACAGGTAACAGCTTCAGGAATGTCAGGGAAGAACTGCAAGCAGAGCTGACACAGGAAGTAATCCTTCTTCTCAAGGGCCAGGAGCACAAGGTCAGGACACACACTGTTGAATGCAATGATGGCACATAGTTATATTAAATTGCTTACTCGTTGAATATTTCTATCTGTATGCAAGAAAACACTTTGGGGTTTCCTTCATGTTTCCCACATTAGAATGCAAACCTATTTTATGGTACCTTATTAAAAATGTAAACTACATTAAAAGAATAGAAAATAAATTCTACACACTAAAAGAGTTTTGAGAGTCAATATTTTTTCCATCTACCTTATCTCACTTGCCATACATACCTGTGGCAAAGGCACCGAGTGTGAACCAGCTGTGCCAACGTGCTAGAAGAGTAGAAGGCTGGATCGGCAAGACTCCGGGACACGAGGGTTAATGCAAGCTGTCCCACTGAGGGCTGCAGGTCCTGGAACTCTGCCCTGGTCAGGAACCCCTCCACCTCTTTCTGGATCTCTTCCACTGGTGCCGTCTAAGAGGGAAAATAAATATATTTTTTAAATTCAGAATTGTTTGGTATAATTCTGTTGCGCTGAAGCATACAGAACGAAGGCTGTGTTATAAAAATAAGTCACGTTTTTACCTTGATGAGCTCTAATACTTGGTCAGTTGTTAAATTAGTTGTTGACTGGGACTTACGGGTCATTCTCTGTATGGACAAACAGAAGAATCAAATTACGGATCTACCACACACCACTGGTGTCTCACAGATAAGTTTAATAAATAAATATTACTATAATATTTTTTCAGTAGTTAGTAATATTTCTTCTTACTATTTAGAGTACCTTATTTTAGTAATTCCAAATGTTATGCAACATTATTTTTTCTTTTAATGTCATTAGAGATTTAAACAGAACAACAAAGAAACATGTTTTCCATTATCATATTATATAACTCTTTTATATAAAGGTTTTACAAACGGGAACAATGTTAAGGCTTCTGCCATAAGCCGTTCGTCTTTGCAACAGTGTGGACAATGACGAACTCAGAATTCGCAAAAACACTTATCCAACTTACCGTCCTCCTCGTTTCTGCAGATTTTGAGGGCTGAGCTTTTTCACCATGAAGAATGTTATTCCAAGACGGCACAGAATTCGGAGTCTTCGACTCTGTGGTTAAAAAACAAACAAAAAAGTACTGAGTGAACACAATTTCTCATGTAAAAATGGGAATCAGAGATATAATTTTGAGTCGAGCGAGAGTATGACATGTTTGATTCAGCTCACCTTCAGTCTTTGTATGTTTTAATTTTCCCAGGGCAGAGGCAAGGGAAGATTTGGGGCACTCGAAGGGTATAATGGAGAGGGTTTTCCCATGTGGAATAAATACCTTGTTGGAATAACTCCAAAGCTGTATGAGAGAGACAATAAAATCAACACAAAGATGATGCAGACATAGTTCAAAACTGTTGCTACATATTTGTGTCTAATACACTGGTTTTAAGATTGTAAACTGCTATAAAGTTGTGAGAAGGGACAGTGAGCCCCGTCACAGTGGAGTGCAGACACAGTGCTCTACCAAAGTCATACAGTCCTCCATCAGCACCCAGCAGCTGGAAGGACAGGGAACCTTGGCCCACAGTTAATAACAATGAAGCCTGAGCATGTGTGATTGCTGTCGTGTGAGTATGAAGTAATCCAGTCACTTTTAAAGATTAAAGATTTAAAGAGAGGTGAAACGTCTTCAAGTAACTTAAAGAAGTCCAGACGCTTTTCTTTGCAAGCTCCTTTGACTACGATGACCTGGATGACTGAGAACCTTCACA